GAAAGCAGCTGATCCTCTTCCCCTGTTCATTTGTAAGAGTCTGACCCATTTGAATGATTTGAGTGGTCTGCACACCCAGGAGGAGTTTTTTCCATGACGTGCTGTAGGGATGAGAAAAGACAGCCTGCTCACACTCAAAGCTTCTGAACTGTTCAGTTGCCTTAAGTTCATTGCTGGACCCAGTTTCGAAACTTAAAAAAAAAAAAAAAAAAAAAAAAACTTTTTGTGTAAGTTTGGTTACCATGTAGTGATCAGACTCCTAACCTGTGAACTTCTTGCTGTTCTGCAGCCGACTAAACTCTTTCTGTATTTTCATTTTTCCAACAACTAATAGAATAAAGGCAGTTTTCTAAGCTCCCTGTATCCTGGTGTCTGTATTCCTCACTCTGGGTTTTTGGCCCAGTGTCTGACAGCCTGAATCAGAAATACCATTTTTGATACAGCTGTGATAGGATTTGCTGAGCAGTTCCAAGGGCTTTAATACTTATTTTTGTTTCCCAGCAAGTGACACCCACCCGCTGCTCGCAGTGGTTTCCAAATGCTGCAGCAGAGCAGAGGTGGAATCCCTCGCCCTGTCTGGCCCCTGCGGTGAGTGGCAGAGCTTCCCAGGAGCTTCTTTTGATACTCAAACCAGATGAGAGTACATCAGTTGAGTTGAATTTGCTGGTCTTGAGCATGGGAATGGACGAGCAGGAGGAGGCTACATAGGAGGGGAATGTAGGAAGAAGGGAGAGGACAGCAGTGTTGCTGTAGACGCATGCAATGGTATGCAGTGTGCTGGTCTGCCCTGTCGTGTACTCCACGCACTGCACTGCAGCATGTGTGAGATGTTGCACACAGCAGCACGTTTGCCATGCTGTTTTCATGAGAGATGCCTACAAGCGCTGCAACAAGGGATGGGCTTGATGTATGGGCCGTTGTGCTGCACCCACGCTGGAGAGCAGCTCATGCTTCTCCTGGGTGAGAAATACAGAACAGCAGTGTGCATCTCCACACTTGCACTGGTATTTACAGAGCTGCTGTCGAGCTGAGCGGCTCTCCCCATGGGGCTGGGCAGGAGGGAGTCCAGTTGCTGACGACAATCTGTGTAAGTGAGCACCTAGCTGCATCTGAGTAATGTCCTAAAAAAATGTTGCAGTTTGTTTTTTTTTTGTTTTGGTTTTTTTTTTGGTCAATGTTCCTGATCCTGCAACAAAGGACACACAGACCTGGCTGTGGGAGCGCCCCATATCTCTGGGTCTTTGTCCTCCCTCTGCAGCCACAGACACCCCGGAGTGAAGCGTCTGGCCAGCCTGGCGGTAGCGGTGGCACCAGTCCCACCCTTCCCTCCTTCCTCTCCTGGGTGCCTGTTCTGCCCACGTGGGGTGACGGGGTTGAACAGAGCAAGAAGTTCCCAGCTGCAGCTGCAGGCCTGCCCAGGAGGGTGTCATTCTCTGCCCTGTTAACAAACTTGCTCGCTCCTCTGCAGTTCCCTTTTTTGGGGGGGTTTTGTTGTTGGGTGGTTTGGGAGGTGGTTGCAGTTGAGCAAAACTGGGGTTTTTCAGTGTTGCAGAGCTGCTGGGTTGCAGTTCTCTATGGTCACAGTTACAGAGCAGCTCTTCAGCTGCTCTTCAGTGGTTTTGACCAATGCATGTTCCTCTAGATGCAGCTCATGGTTTGTGTATCGGCTGGTGCGCTTCCACCCAGAAATGATTAATTTATTATCCCAGGTTTAATCTAAGCTCTTGTTAACCTACAGCACCACCTCCCCATCTCCTCTGTCTTGTCCACCAGCTGGTGTTAGGATTGCAGGCCTGGCCTGCCTTTCTCGAAGTTCAGAAATCTTGGTAAGTCGCTGTCTCTCATTCGTGACCAGAAGCTCCAGCTCCCTCTCCTTGTCCCTTGCACCACTGGCATCAGAGCAGAAGCCTGCTTAGGAGCGTGTGGTTATTAAGCCATCTGTCCTTCTCAGCCTTCCTGCTTTCGAGGGCTGGCAGCCTGGCTCCCTTTGGGTTCCTGTTGCATCTGTCACCTCTGGAGGCCACCTTTGTTCTGGATGAAACTGAGGACACAGACAGCCAGACCAGACCTGGGAAATGAGAGCTCAGTGCTCACAGAGAGCGATCCAGCCAGGCAAGGAGGGGTGAAAGGGGCAGGGGAAAAGCTAGGAGCCAAGTGCCAGCCCCCTGCCTAGGGGAGGGAGTTCGTACCGGGAGTGGGGAGGAGATGTGAGCAGGAGGCCAGGTGTGTTTTGCAACCTTTGTGGTTATTCACTGCTGTTGCTGTTAAACAGCAACCTTCTGACCTCACAGGACAAGCATCACTTGTCACACACCTCAGAAGAGGGTCCCTTGAGCCCATCTAGTCCCTTGGGAGCTCCTCGCACTCCTCTGGATCCAAGTTCAGCTGGCTCTCCAGAACGTGTCCAGGCCCAGGGCACAGCTCTGAGCCAACAAGGAAGTTCAGCTCACTTGGTTTCCTTAAAACTCACTCATCAAGGAAGGGAAAGCCCTAACCTGCCGTGTCTGAAAAGGGCAGGGCCCCAGAAGTAAACTCTCAATTTCAGACGAAATCCCCAGGTCCAGCCTGAGGATTGAAAGTGCCAGTCTGAGCAAGCGTCAAAAGCAGAGATGCCCCTGTGGCACTGCTCTAGAGATCACCCTGAAGAGAAATTCCTCTTCTTCAAACCACCGTGGCTTGCCATGCTCAAGGCGTGGGTGAGGAGTTGGTGTGGACTGTAACCGCCGATTGACTCAAGAGCAAACATGGGTCACATGCCTCTGCTTGTCCCATCAGCCATTTCCTGGCTGCTCTGATCTCAGGACGCTTGTTGTGGCTCCTGCTATCAGTGCTGCAACAGGCTGCAAAAACTTTCACGTCCCTGAAGATACAAGATAATCGTGCGAGTCCCCCAAACTCAATGCAGCCAGGAGCTATTCCAGTTCCCAGTCACGGGGACAGGTGCCAAGAGCAAAACCACCAGATCCTGCTGTCACCTGGGAACCCCGACCAGAGATGCAGCGTTATATGGTGGCCTGTTAGTGACAGCTGGTGCTTGTGATGAGTCTTTGCTACCAAGCATGAAAGAGAACAGACAGCAGCAGAGGGGGGCCCTGAGTACGTCCCCCCCCTTCCCCATGCTCTGGAGCCCAGGCAGCCTTGGCTGGGGGCCAGGGCTGATAAGCAGCTGTCTGACCTCGGGGCTGTTGTGGATGGAGCTCGCTTGGTGCAAACGCTGGCAGGAGCCTCGGCAGGGGCTCCCTGCTTCCCCGTGGGAGCCGTGCTGAAGCTGAGGCCCTTCCTCTTGGTCCCTGCTGAGGTGTGCTGCCCCACGGTCCCCGTCGGTCCCACCTGTGGACATCACCTCAAGGCCTGGTGCTGGACCTGCCTCTTCACGGCGTGCTCTGGAGGAGGGCGATCTTTCGGCACCCAGACCTGTGGAGGAGTGGATGGGCTAGGTTGCCTGGCGTGGGTACAGGCAACAGCGTAGTTCACTTAGGGCTGCCTTGAACCCATGAGAAAAAGAGCAGTTGCTACTGCGTGATTTAAAATTCCCTAAAACACACCAAAGCAGTAAGGCAAGAAATGGAAAAGCCAGGGATGGGGAAAGCAACCGCTGAAGTAAAGGGAGGCTCTCCCAGCCTCGAAGAGGTGGAAAAATTATCAAAGGAGACAGAAGAAGGGACTTTGTGGCCCCTCTTGCACCCCTCCTGTTCCTCCTCCTGGTGCACGAACCGAAGGTGTTTCTCCCCCCAAAGCGGCTCTAGCAGGGCGCTGCAGCCCCCGGTGCCGCCGCCGTACTCGGGCGGCCTTGTCACCACGAGGGTTCTAGCTGCTGGGACCGCTTTGCGTTTTGCCGATTTTCCACAGCGTTTCTGAGAAGCGGTGCCGCTTCCCTGTCTGTTACCCGCGGATGTGTAAACCACCCAATTCTGAGCTTTTACTGGATCAGAAAAACGCTGAGCCTTTCCGTGAAGATGGGAAAAAGGCCGGGGGGGGG